TTTTTTTTTTTTGTGCCAGAGGAAACTAAATTAAATTAATCATAGTTTCCCATAATATATACAGTCGGAGAATTTTTAGTTTTAAAATTATAGCAAGAACAAGCAGGAATCAAATCATTTTTGTACCCTTGCTCCTGTGAATACTACAAGTATTGCACAGAAATACATAAAATATGACATTATACAGCATACAAATACTGTTTCCGCCTAACATGTTAAGAATGACAAGAGGTATTGCAGTCAGTTTCATTTCAGTTATTTTGAATTACACAGTTTTCACCAAAGTTAAAACTAAGCTTATCCAATACCAGTGGACCTCTGCACAATAGGACTCAACATTGCTCTAGAGTCAGAGAGAAAGTCAAAACGTTCTGTTGGTACAATTTACATCTAGTCCTTGTAGCACATCTTTTGATATGCCTGCTGCAGTCATTTGACAGGCAAATAATAATTTGTTGCTAGTATAGAGCACTTCCCTACATCCCTAGCAATCTACTTTCTGTTCCTTGAGGTGGGAGGAAGGTACATCACTTTTCACTGCATTCGTAACGCTTCTGTTGCTGCCTCTCTGAAATATTGCCATGCTCAAGACAAGCTCCCTGAGTTTGAAAGGGAGATTGTTGTGGGGACTGCTGTCAGGAGTAGTAGTGATGCTCTCTAGCAAGTGCAGGTGTAAAGGAAAGACAGCAAAGGGGAAAGAAACAGGCAAGTAAGAGAAGAATGAGGTGAAGGTTACAAATAAGGTTACAACCTGAAGGATCATGTGGTAGGAGGCAGTGGGCTGCATGGGGATTACAATGGGAATAGCAACCTCATGGAAGATACCCCACAAGATCAATATTCTCCTGATTCTAGGAAAAAACTGTGGTTGCCCATAATCTCTCTAGCAGCCATGGATATGCCCTCAGGCTCCTCCTCCATGTGACATAGAATATTTGCACTACTTTCCTGCCAGATAACTTTCCTCTGGCTTCAGTTTGCCTTAGGTGTAAGCTAGCTCTGAGATGGAGGCTGAGATATGACAATATGTTTTCAGTAATCAGTAAACAGATCATTTTGGAGCTAGGACAAAAGGTCTGAATGGATAAACCCTAAAATTAGCCTCCCCCAGCAAGCTAAAAAATTATACTGTATTCTGTATTCTGAGTACTACTGTGGAACTACTACAATTATAATAATTAATAGGACTGTGCAGGGTTTGCAGTTTATAGTGGAATCCCAAAGGTAGTTCAGCCTGCAGAATCCTTGGAAATGACAGAGCTGCTTTAAGGAGCTGAAAACAGATATTGTATTTGCACACACCAAAGCATTTTTTTAATTGAATCCAAAACACTAGGCATAATATAAAAAGTGTGGACCATGGATGCTGCATTTTAAGACATACAAGATATAAGAGAGCGTATCTATTGTTTATGTAACACAGATGTAAAGATGACAATAATAATGGACCTAAGAAATGGTTTTATGTATGATTTTTTTTTGGCGTCTAAACTTAAGCCCTAAGTCTTTTGATCTTCAAATCTGTTGCCCAATTAATTGTCTATTCTTTATAGAATTTTAATTCTGACCTATCAGATAGTCCATTAATCCATCAAAGAAACAATGTTCTTTATATTAATATGGATGGCACAGAAATGCATAAGTGAGCATGCTTCAGAGAAGAATTTCTAAGTCCAAAAATATTTTTTAAAAATGTTGCTGGACAATGCCATTCCAAACAAATATTATTAGTCCTTACTGCCTGATGAGGCCATATGACACATAAGGAATTACTGTTTTGGAAGCATTAACCCACAGTACAAGTTTAAGCTACTTAAATCCTATTATCAGTAATAGGAGTCATGAGGCTGATAACTCAGGCCCGTGCTAATTTAAAAGCTTATTCCCAAAGCCTCTGAGATTTAATTTAACAGGAAGAATTCTTTATGGCATGCTCAAACTGTGGGTTGCAAACCCTCGGTTGGGTTGTGAGAACATTTCAGGAGATTGCAATGGGGGAGGGGCAGCTTGTTCATGCAAATCTTAATTGCCATGAGAATTTACAATACAGAGTGGAAGTTTTTAGAGCAATCTGGCTTTGTGCAAGTAAGTAAAAAACAAAACAAAACATGAATTTCACCCCCAAGCAAAAACTGGATTACTGCCAGAACTCAGTCCCTCTCTGCCTGGACTGACCCCAGGAGGCCTGAGCATGGATAATGTCCAGTGAAGCAGGTCCAGGGCTCTCCAAAGGATCATTCTGTTTTCGGATGACAGGCAAGTGCCTGCCCCTCCTGAAGCTGGATCATAGACTGGAGATGCTGGTAATATTCTAGGCTGCTGCCCAACTGACTTTCTTTAGCCTTAGAGATGAATTGAGGGATTCTTTTTCCCTCAGCAACCTTTGGCCAGATCTAGCACATTTTCAAGCTCGGTCTTTGTTTTGCTGATCTCTCCTACCATACCAAATTTGCTTGCATTCTAGTTTGTTT